GGGGAAGGGGGGGCAGGGGGAGAGAGATGCTTTGATATCAGACCAAAATTGGAATTTGGAATGTTAGAGACTCAGGAGAACAAAAATCTTGGAGCAAGAATGAGAACCAACTGTAAAGTCAACCCTGATCTGACTCCTGGTCCTTGACTCAAACCCAGGCCACAAGGGTGTGAGGGTAGTGTTGACCCTTTGCACCCTAACATCAGTGTGCATATTCTCCATACTGTTCTTTATACATTTCTTAAGGTGCTATCAAGGAGAATTTGTGTAACAATCGATCAAGAGCTTTATAGTCGGTGATCATTTTCTTTATTCTCCTGACCTTAATGTGTGATTCAGGGGTGATATTGTAAGGAGAAATTAGATGCTGGTCAATCTTAGGGGTCAAAGAGTTCAATTTTTTTTTTTTTTTCTTTTGAGTACCATAGATTGAAATGGAAGTCTGACAACTGTAAGCTTAAATTCATCAGGCACTGACCAGTAATCCTCATTCGTTGTTGAGAACAGGGGATGTATTGAAGGATCAACTACAAAATCGCATCTTCTCCTGTCAAGATCTGTATTGTAGACATTCCTTGCAGTTAAATGCTGAATCAAAGACATTTTACATGTTAGATGAATTTTAGTACTTTGTGAGTTGAATTCACGGCACAAAATAGATTTTGAAAAGATCTGACTCCCTAGGACTGCGGGTCAATTTTATGGAACTTAGTTAATAACCATGGAAACGCATGAACGAGATTGAAGTTAAACACGTAACAAACTCACAAAAGAATTTGTGACTAAAGACTATTTCAGATACTAATGGAAAATAATATATAAATGAGAAATAATGGAAAATTTGGCAATGGACATTCCAGTAGGTGGCTCTTCTTTGTCCACTGTTTCCAGATCAAATTGGAATTTGAATTGTTGGGTTCTGCAGTGGGAGGAAAACCAGAGGACCCAGAGAAAAACCCTCGGAGCAAGGATGAGCACCAACAACAAACTCAACCCACGTGATGTCAGGACCGTCATTGAGCGCTTTTGAGCGGTCATCCAGTGTTTGAAGAGTGTCAACAGAAATCAATGATTTATTGATTTTGTTGGTGTTGTTGGATTTGGGGTGGTGGCTTGGCAGTGTCTGGAATATGTATTGATTTGTTATTTAAAAGCTAGAAGTTGTGTATGTTTTTTAATTTCTATTATATTTTGTTTATAACACAAACCCACAAGCCTCTGGCTTTAAATACCTGTAATGTTTAAATCGAGTTTTACAGTTACAGTTATTGTGCAGTTTTTAATTTCTGATAACCACTGATTATAAGACCTATGGGAAAAATACACCTGTGATTTTGCACCTACCTCACAGACCCAGTTGGCAATTCTTAGGCGACGGTTATAAGACAAAACATAATCATCCTTAGCTTTAATATTTTCAAAACCTGTCAAAATGACAAAAAAAAGCATTGAATTCTTTGAGAAAGACAGAAACCATTTGATACTAAAGCAATTTTATTCTTGCAGCAAGTCGATCTCCATCTCAAGAGGCAAACAGTATTCTAACATTTATACTACATTGATTGGCTTAATAAACCCATAAATCCCACAAGTGATTTACATGCAACCTCTCCAGATAAAATCTATACATTATCATGATATTTTTTACTTAGTGATCATTTCCTATATTCTGCAGACCTTCATGCTTGATTCAGGTAAGGCTGATTTTAGTCACTCTTAGAGTTAAAAAGGTCAGGGGCTAAATTACACACCAGGATATCCAAATCTCATAATTTCTGACATTCTAGAGCCTGGACCATCAACTGTGTCAAGCTGTTTGGGTTTGGCCTGGACCATAGAAAAAACACCATGATGAAGCTTTTTCCTGAAATAAAAATTCAGTAAAAGTGATCTTTTAAATCAACCACAATTCTGTGGATGACAGTGAAAAACTGGAACTTAAATTTATTTAATTTATACAGTTTTGATCTGACCCATCGATATTGCTGTTTCAATGATTAAACTCCTCCTTGATGCTGACACAAATGAATTAATTGTGGAAAAACAAGCTGCCATGCAGTGTCAGCTACCCTAAAAAATGTAAAGTCTACTGGAATTTAATTCAGTGTTATCTGCTTGTGTTGTGCAGTGTTATCTGGAATTTAATTCAGTGTTATCTGCTTCACATACTCGTCATGATAAAGAGTAACACGCGATTTCTTCTAAACATGTACAGCTAGCTGGTCCGTAAGAAATTTCCTGATGGGACATCCTCGCTATGCAAATTTTCTGTAGTTTCTCAGACAATAGGGTAATTTGCAGTACATATATCGAAGTTTATTATGCTTGAATGCGTTCTACAGTTGGAATAATCATCTACTGAATCATCTTCACCAATTATTTGCAAAACTTCAATGGTTCAATAGTGTTGCACCCTCTGTTGGGCTAAGCTGAGTGTGGACCACGGGAAAAATATACAGAAATACGAAAAACAAATACCTTTCGAAAAAAGTTCCGAGAGCCCCTCCAATTCCAAGGGATACAGCAGAAACAGCAGGAATTACCAATCGACGCATTGGAGTGGCTCTAAATATATACTTATGTCAAACTGAAAGTAAATTCATATGGTCTCCTAATGAGAAACTGCGATACGGTACACGAAGCCAGACCGGAACCTGGAACATGAAATCGAGGCTTAAGTGGTGTTTTTTTTTTTTTTTTTTTTTTTTTTCTTTTTTTCTTTTTTTTTTTTTACTCCAGGCTGAGCATCCTAAGATCTCTGAACGGTTGCGTTCTTGACGTGCTTGAATTTATTTTCCCGTTAAATTTTTTGTTTGTCTCGAGAAATACTACGTCCGTGTTAATTGATTCTCAACCTAAGAATTCCACGAAAATTCTTACGGGATTCCACCAGAATCTTGGATCCTCCGAGAATTGGAATAGAATCCCCCATAATCTCGCTATTCGCTACGCCAGGAAAAACTTTATTTCCCACCTCTTTTTGCTTGTCTTTCCTACCAATTTTTCATTTATTTTCCATATCATAGCCAACGTCCCAAACGTAGCCCGCGGTGCTCACTACAGACAAGCGGTAAGAGGTAGTGATTCTGCGTAGTTCGCAATAAATTTCAACATGGCTGCCGGAGAACTTCAAGAAGATACCTTGAAGTTCACACTTGTTCACGGTAATAAAATCATACACCTAATGCAGTGATTTCCATTGAAAACCTCGGTAACTAATCAGGTCTACATGTTATGTTTTTTTTTTTTTTAAAGGATCAAAGAAATATCCGGTCGAGTTACCCATAGATAGTAGCAATGACGGACCTACAGTGGAAGATTTAGCAAACCTTGCAGCTCGACTCACCGATGTACCTAGAGGATCGCAGAGGCTTATTTTTAAAGGTGAGTGGTGTAGAAGAGAAGCTGCATTGCGCCCTGTCACCCGAATGTATTATAAGGCCTAAAGAATACGGTGGATTCATTCCTATGATCCATCAAATATTTTTTTCGATTGGATTAAACGTATCACTCGACCGAATATTTCCCAATTAAAACTGGGGGTATCCGAGGATATCACACAATGTTTCTTCCCCAATTTTCAAACCATGCGTCTCCTGTATGCACACTTTCAAGTCAAATAGATGACATTGTTTATATATATATAGACATTGTTTATATATAAGTCCAAAAACGGATTCCGTAAACCGTTAAACGGCCGAGAAAAAAAATAAACTGATGGCTTAAAACGTTAAACGGTTGAACAGAATCTATAAATCGATAGCTTAAAACGTTCAGTTAAACGGATGGACAAAAACCTTGAACAGATCAGGAGGGCTAAAGAACAGCGGGATAAGCCATGCACATAACTAAAAGAAACCGTTGCGAACAATTATACGAATAATATTGTTCTTGCGGAACACTGACGTTTCATGCTAATATTATATTCGACTGACACCAATAGAAAACAAAGTAAAATTAAATTACTAGCCTGTGATTAAGCTATCCACTGGCGAGTAAAGCGAGCCGAGAGCAAATCTCGCNACGCATTGATTATGGAATTGTGCGAACATTTCTTATAAAGCTGTTGGGTCTCATCGTTGATGGATGATGCTTTTTAAGGGTCAACGTCCTTGCAATCGAGTGTATTTAACAATTATTCCACGAGCGCGCGTTGGATATGAGATGATAGATAGCCAACGAGGCGCGTAGCGCCGAGTTGGCTATAATCATCTCATATCCAACAAGCGCGAGTGGAATAATTGTTTTATTAAAAACGCCCCCAAGAAATTATTATTTTGTAAGAAGAAACTGGATTTTTTAGCTCCCTTTTGATTTTAAGCTGACGCGTACGCTTACCATATTTGTAGATTATGGTATATTGGCTGATATACCATAATGGCTAAGCCAATAAAAAGTCTTGAATTGCATTATCCAATGATCCAGTTTTTAATAAATATATATATATAATGTGTGGTAGTCGGAAAAAACAACTACAGATACATCCCTACAGGCCTGTTTCGTGGTTGCCCACTCATCAGGGGATTTTAATGCAGAATCACATTAAAATCCCCTGATGAGTGGGCAACCACAAAACAGGCCTCTAGGGATGAATCTGTAGTTGTTTTTTTTCCGACTACCACACATTATACCCACTCTACTATTTGTATCGAGCACTGTTTCACAGACACCAAGCTTAATCCCTATTATATATATAACTAACTGCAGACAGTACTGTTTCGGCTTTCTGGGCCTCATCAGTGCAGTGCTGATTCTAGGATGGGGGTGAAGCTTTAAAGCCACCCCAAATGATGTCACATTTTTGGTACCATTTTAAGTCATGCCAGAGTGCTCAAACTAGAAACTGGTGAGCTTCGCACAATTGCACGACATGACTACACCATAGCATGAGTCAGGCTGGCAAAGGCTGTACAGCCACACACAATATTTGCAAGCTGTACGTTGTGGACCATTCCTCTCACTTTGTAGAACTTTACACTATAAAATATCAAGTTAGATTTTTGTTTTGTTTTAGGGCAGTCCTTGACAGAACTCAGTCAATCGCTAAAATCTCTTAGAGTGAAGAATGGCAGTAGAATTATGTTAATTGGCAAAAAGGTCAGTGTAGTTTGGATACTGGAGTCATTTTCATTGGGGTAACTAAAGAAATCTGGGATTGTATTGATGTTGTTGTATTTCACATTTGGTTTTTTTTAATGCACTTGTGCCAAATCTGATACAAAATGAGAACTTATTGTGACTTAGTTTCAGTTCTGCTCAAAACTAAGTCACTCTCAACCCTAAACTAAATCTTGATCCTTAAAACTTTTAAGAATTGAAGAATCCACAGTTGAGGCTTGAGGATCTATGACTGAGATGAAGAGTTTAAACTTCAAGGATCTCACTCGTCAGTTTTGAGGAAACATTTTTTTTCTACTCATGAAATAATTTTCCACTGCTGTGGATAGTTTGTATGTTTAACCCTATTGGGTTCAAAGCCCTCACCCTATACCACCCCTGAAAATCCAGACAAAATGGCTGTCAAATTAAAAAAAACTACATGGTCCAAACAAATTTACCATTTTATGTCTTGGTTTTACTCTTCAGCAGTGAAACTTTAAAACATGATTGCCAATACAATAAAGAATTACTTAAACTGCTTAAATCCTGAAGATGTATGTTATGCTTTTTTAAAAAATATATTAAAGTATGGACATCAAGTAAACAAAGTGACCATCACTGTACTACCTACTAAAAACGAAGGAATGATGATATCTTAAAACCACAGTAAGTCTCAATTCCTGCTCTTAACTCAGCAGAAATGCAAACAAAAAGAATCAGTCAAAAACGTTTTGCATTAAGACAGGCCATCTCACGGGTAAGAGAGTGAAATTCATAAGCTTTCTTGCACAGATCAAATTTGAATTTACCGCTAGTGCTGACGTCAGTGAATGTCATGAGGTAAAAAAAACTAGAAGTTACAAGTTAAGCCTACACAGACCTGGCAGAAAATTGTCTATAGAACTATTGAAGAATGAAACAACTATGATTGAATAGAACCCTTTCAGGTAGAGGACTATGAACAATGCTTAGATTATACCAAACAAAGAAAGTTGTTTTTATCTTTGACCAGTTCGTGACTCGCAAAGTGAAGGTGAAATGAAATTGGGCTTTACAGCTTAATACAGTGCTCTAAAGAACGAAAAAAAAAAAAACAAGGTGCAATTTAAGAACTAAGGTTAAGTGTTTTTAAGAGTTAATTTCCTCCGTGCTATTTTGAAAAGCAGGAGAGTTCGCCATGCATTTGCTGACATAATGCCACGCCACATTGCTCACAAGCATATGTTTTGAAGGCATGTCCATCACTTTGTTTTCTCCCATTGTCGATGAAAAGTTTAAGGAAATCTTTCGATGTTGCACCCTCGCCAAGATCTTTCCTTGGGCCATGAGGAAATTATGGTAAACTCTTCGATGTCAATTTCACTCAATGTGTTTGACCATTGAACCCCAAAGGCATATCTTCGTTGTTGCTATCTACTTCATCATCTTCTTCTTCTTCGCTAGCAAAAATATGGACATTGGAGTTTGTTTCCCCTTAGTG